ATTCTGCCAGAGGACATCATTATGGCTGTAAAAGTAAAGATGCTGTATAGTAAGGTCATGAATAAATTGTTTGAGTCTAGGTTGGAGGAGAAGACCGGAAAAAGTACAAAGTTTCCTACTGCTGCTAATAATGCTTATGAAGAGCACATTAATTTTTACTGGAACACCATTAGGGAAATTAGTTTGTTCTGACAGTTTGTGTTGCTGGATACCATATGTTTACCTTGAGGGAATGTTTGTGGAGAACCACTTTGGGTTAATTGTAAATGTCACAATCAAATAAGTAAATATACAGAACTGTATCTGTGATCTGCATCAGTGCACAGACACTGTGTACCAGCACACTGGTATGCCACGTAATATGTGTACATATAAATATATACTTTTATGTACTCAATCCATACCAGTCAGCTTATCTGGACACACAGACATCAGGTACAAACAGCACCTGCGTTTTGTCTTTCTGATCTGTTTATCGTGACGTACAAGTGGCACTGCACCATGCCCTTCTCTCTATTTAATGCCTGCACTGTGATCTCCGAGAACCGCACACTGAGCTTCCCTGGTGCTGCTGACAGGTGTTGCACCTCTAATTCATCTGGCACAAAACAGGCGAGGAGGGCAAGAGGGGGGAAATCAGATACCGTGTTCAAAACCTCGGATTAGCTGGAGTCATTACAGATTACCAAAGGTTCAAATATGTTACGTTTCAGTGTTGTCAGTCCCCACTAATAATCTGCAGAGCAGTTGAGGATTTTCAGGACCTTGACAGATTAAGCCTTAAGGACACTCAAACAAACCTGTCACATAGGTCTTTATCATGCAAACTTGAGGCCAAGCTCAATAACAGCCCTGTTAGTCTTCTGCATTGCAGAGGCCTTGAAAAATTGATTTTCTGTTTTGCCACTGACTTCAGTGGAATCAGGCTTTAGCCCTCCAAGGCAAATTTATTCCTGTAGATTGTAGCTACTTCTGAAATTCTTAATTTCACATCCTCAAATAGTCAAACTTCAAGACAGACCAGCTATGGGTGCAGACTTAGCCAGGTGGTGTTAACCATTGCTGGGTTATTAACTGCCTTTATGGTCTGGGATACCCTTTTTTTTTTTTTCATTTGGAAATGCATTTAACAGATTTAAAGGCCTGATCCAAAATGTACAGGAATAGATACAAATCTTTGTATTGAACACTGGAAGAGGATTTTAAAGGGAGCTGGTCATTGTTTACAGCGGGAGTGTATTTTTAACAGAAACAAGAAGGCTAATCTGTTAGCGCAACATTAATCCAGGGAAAACACTTTCTGAAGTGTCCAGAGCTTGTTAACACAGCTAACACCTAAGGCAGCAGTGTGTCTTTAAGCTCTGCTAATATTGTACGATAATAATTTTTGTGGAAGAAAATCTTCTCCTCTCCCTGAACAGAAACACGACATATTATTGACTGCCATCCGGAAAGATGTATGCTCTGGCCCTCATGAGTCTATTAATATTTGATGCTGATGGATGTGAGCTGGCAGCCTGAGTTATTAATGGAGTTTGGTTCCTTGGACCTAACCCTCAATACATAGGGGAGAATCAACAATAACAAGAACTGTATGCCCAGACCTCTCATGGTACTAGGAAAGTCTGTCATTTAGTTTCAGCAACAATTAGTTGGTATTGCTGAAGTACTTAAAGGTATAGAAGGTCATACATGCGGTGTTACTTGCATCACTGCTGCCATTCATTTTGATTTAAAGTTGGCTTTTTAGGGTCCCGGAGATCACAGATCCCCCACCTGTGTCTTTGCTATGTTGGGATACTCCCATCCGATTTAGATTTCAAACAACAAAAGGCTCAGTCCCGTTAGCTTCTAGCAGCTGTGTGTGGATGTGGGACACCCTGTCCTTGGTTGTACAGAGGTGCCGCCTCGCAGATTGGGGCCGGGGAAGCTGTGCTGCAAAGGAGAGGGCAGGAACGTGCTGCTTCACACTCAGGGTGGGGCATTTATGGGAGCTGGGCCTGATAACACATCCCATAATGAGACTTTTTCCATTGATTATGTTAGAGTCAGATTTGACCCCTGGAATTAGGAAATAATGCATTAAATAGATTTCAGGGTTATATTTTGATAAACTGGCCCTTCTAAGTGAAAATTTTGAAGAAAATGAAGCACTTTTGAAAGTTTGTGATGTCCATATGAATCATTCTGACTTGGAAAACAGAGATGTAAAATACCAAGTTATTTATAGCTAGATTTCTTAATATAGCTTTAACATTTTCAGGGGTATATGTTGATTGAATTAGCTACTCCTTCCTATCCTGTACACCACAATCCAGGCATTTCACTACTCTCATTAACCTCCCGATCTTAATAGAAGAAAGAATAATCAACATAAGGAGCACAGCTGTTGATTAATTTTACTAAATAGGATAGAAATATAAAGTACCATATTGCAAGAGTGAAGATTCAATACACAACATTTGAAATCAGTTTAATAGAATATTTAACTCATTAACAACTGGAGAGACGTATTCTGTGGCATTATTCACTTGGGCAGGTGGTGAAAGGGAGGTGGAATTTACATCTCTTTAACAGTACCTGAATGCATTTAATTTCATAGGTCATTCTCCAAAATCAAGTTCAAAATGTTAATAACGGGGTGTGCATTTATAATTAATAAAATCTTAGAGCCAGTGCTATAGTTCAAGTGCATTTTCCTCTTATGTAATTAAGAAGTTAAGTGTATTTGGCAGTTGTCACTCAGAGAGCTCTGAAGGTCTCACTTGTCAAACCTGAGGATAGAAATCTCATTAAGCCAGTTATTTTTTCAGTTAAGTTTTGTTTGCAGAATAAGTGCATATAAGGCGGACAGCCAGACTGACCAACCTCTGTTAGTCCATAAAGTATAGTATATTAAAGTAAATGCCAAAACTCAAAGACGTGTTGAATAAAGATGAAACAGCCTGATGTTTAGCTTGTATAGCTTGGGATACCCCAAGTGTCTGTGTCTGACTGCCCTACACACAGAGTAATTCCACAGAAAACTGGTGAATCCGCACCAACCTGTTGTGCACGAGGCCAGGGAGAACTTACGGCATAACGCGGACTGATCTGCGGCCACGGGGAGGCAGCTGAAGAGCTGGAAACCCACCTTCTGCTTACACCCGTGGCACAGATGCTGTTTTAGTTATTCCTGTTCCCAAGGTGATATTTTAGCTCCACATCACTCTGTTCTACTTTCCTTTTCAAAGAAATTTTCTTTTACTTCTAGATCACTAGTTCAAATCCAGATAAGGTCAGTTGTCATAGAAATTATTAGCAGCACCAGCAGTTCTGTGTTGTACATGAAATGAGTTGGGAGTTTCATTCACACAAGATACGGCTTTCTAAGTGGCACTAATTGGCTGTCTAATTGTCACACGCAGGAGAAAGGCAGAGGATTGATTAGGCGTGGAGACTGAATGTCCCTCTGCCATCCCGCTCGGCTCTGGGTTCCTGTAGCTCATTCTGTAGGCATGCTGGCAGGGTAATGAGGGGCAGCGTGCTTTGGATTTTCTGGCTGTCAAGACAGCACCTTTTACTGCCAGGCCTTTGCAGAGGAACTTGTTTTACTCCACCAAGGTCAAAGATAGCATCTTTTACAAACACTGCTTTCACTCAAAAAATCAGAGACTTGGATTTACTTCTGAGCAGTACGTATTTTAACCGTTTCTTTTACTTCCCCCTAAAACAAAGTTTTTAGTATAAAATAGGATGAGTCATACTGGTGCTAGGCAGAACTGCTACAGTAAGCATATGGGGGTTTATGGTGCTCAGAAATCTGTTCATATTTCCTTTTACTGTCTCAGTGTCTGATGCTGTGATATACAGGCTCCTGGAGGTACTTGCCACGGCATAGGGAAGCTGACATTTTGTGCATTTATCTCCTGATAAATGGATCCTCCTATCAAACAGTGAAGCGTCTCACCTGCAAAATACATTTTGACCAATCTCTTTTCCCCTGAGCTATGGTATAGGTCACATCGAGCAGTGTAGTTACTATTTAACTTAGGAATAGGACAGCTTTCTCTGACATAGAACTAAATTATTAAAGTTTGACTCACTGAAGTAAATTTAGGAGCTAATTTGTGATGTGAAAATCAGGGCATGGAGGAAAGGGATCAAAAATACTTTGTATATGCTAACTTATGCAGACCCAACTGTGGTACTCAGTAAGTAGGTTTAAAGGAATTGCGCTCACATTTTAATTCCCTTGTGGTATCAGATGAACAATATTAGCAAGAACTATGTCTGTCCTTTCAGCCACACAAGCATACGGTGTACTGTAATTTACTGTTGAAATATTCTATACTTCTGTAACATAGAAGTATTTACTCTCCTTTCTCTTGCTTTCCCCACACCTAAAGCAGAAATGGGACAGACAGTTTCTGTGTTCTGCTCTGTGTGCCTCCTCTCTCTGACATACACATCCCTCCTTCAGTGTTTTTCCTAAAGTCACACAATCTCATGCAAACTAATTGAAAACAAATGCGGGTACCAGCTACACATCAAAAAGGTCTAATGCACCTGCCATGTAGTTTTCCTGTCTGCCAGCCTGTGGAAGATGAGCATGTATGAGATCCTTTAGCTTTTCAACAACCCTATTCTTAGAATATATTTTTCCAAGAAATGCAGAGCAATCTTTGCACAGTTTCAGACTGTATATTTTGTGATTAGTGTTTCGTAAGTGATGTTTTGCTTAATGATCTAACATCTGTTCTAGGAGGTTTGTTTTTGTAACTTCCCCACCTCCTGCTGAATGAACGCCAGAAACTTGTCCCTTTCCTCCAAGTCAATCAAAGCACTAATTGCATCATAAACATGGGAAGCAGCGGTGACTGCTCAAGTGGTGAAGACTCAGCAATCAACTCATAACACTCTGTTCACTGTTTCGAAAGAGAAAGACTCCCTGTGCAGAGATGGGAATTTCCTGAAATTCAGATTTCTTTAGCTGACTCTGACTTTTTTTTGGTTTGCAGGGAGATGACTGCACCGTTACCTGCATGGCAGGAACCTACGGAACCAATTGCTCATCAGTTTGTAACTGTAAAAATGATGGTGCATGTTCTCCTGTGGATGGCCTGTGTTATTGCAAAGAAGGTAAACAAAATTCAGATTTAACAATTGTCTGCAATTTGGCATCAATGCTTCTCCCCTTTTGAAGTGGCACAGCTGTGCAGTCAGTAAGTCCACTATTTTCTTGTGCCTGTCGGTGATTCAACAGTCTGCCCAAGTATCAAAACTCAACAGGGGCTTGACTGTATGTTCTGTCTCTGCCCTGAACAGGGGCCAGACTTAACTGCTCTTCTGCAAGAACAGGCCACAGAATTAAGTATGCTAGCAGAGCCAGAGCTCCTCTCCAGAGGAAATGCAAAGCAATCCCCAGACTGCTGGTTTTTTTCTCTATCGCTTGTTGCCTTGTTTCTCCAGCACTCAAAAGCCCCTGTTCTCCCCTCCGTGCCTAGAGTGCCACAGCTGGGCAAGGAAGCAGAGTCTTTTCTTTAGCCCATTGCACTGGGCTCTGCCCAGCCATGGTTATCCTCGCCAGACCTGACCCTGACCTGCAGACTGCCTGTCTGTCTCCACCCTTGAGTCGTTCCCGTAGGTTTTCCTGGTGATGCAGGCTCCTAGCTGATCCCGGCTGCCAACCCTACGCTTGGGGACCGTGGGATGGGTCCTGACTGTATGCCCTTCTGTCCTCTCAGCTCCCTGTCCTCCCTGTACCCTGGCACTGTGACACCCCAGCCATGTACAGGTATCCTCTGTCTCCTGAGCTGGCATGGGGGTTGCAGGATGTATCTGTCTTTTTTCTGGGGAAACAAGAAGTCTTGCCTGCTCCGGAGTCTCTCTGCAAGACTAACCTATTTTCTTCCCACACATATGTCCATAATTCCCTTATGTGCTTGGTAGTGAGCGTAACCCATGTATCCAGTAATCACTTGGGAAATCTTGTACTGCTTCACAGCACAGTGTCTCTTACGTTCTCCGTGTAGCTGTGTCTTCCCCCGGAATACCAACATGAGCTATGCCTGTATGGCATACATAAGCCCTAAACCAGAAGTGAGGCAAATAACAATAAAATCTGGCATTTCAAACATGAATTAATGGATCACTGTAGAACCCCATTTAATGAGGGTGTATAAACCATGAGTTACTGCTCAACTCCATTACATACAGCTGCAGTGTAATGAAAGCCATTGTGTGGCTGGTAGTTAAGATTTGAGCCTTAATGGTTAGAAATGATGGCCTTGGTCTTTTTTTAGGTGTAATAGCTTCTTTATATTAAAGAGCATTCTCAAAAAAAAAAAAAAAAAAAAAAAAAAAAAAAAAAAAAAAGCTAAGAAACAGGCAGTATTAAATGGCAAGTTTCTTGCATTCTCGCTGATCAGCAGGTCTCCAGCCTGCCAGACAGTACTGTGCTCTCTCTTACTGCCCAAGCAGTTCCCAGGGAGGCATCAGACACCTAAATCTGGTAAACAGCCAACACAGTGACACCTATATCGCCCTTTTGTACCTATAGATGCTGGCAGATGAAGTTGGGAGATCGTAATTAAAGGGTCAGTCTGTGACACCAAAATAGTCTTAATTTACACCAAGCTCAGGAGGAAACTGGTCCTAGAATTGAAGAGCTGCAGTTTGAAAGCTGCCATTCTTGCTGTCTCTACTTTGCTTTTTTTCATTAAAACATCCCAAATGCCTTTTCTCTCATATGTTTCTTTAGGGTGGCAAGGAGTGGATTGTTCTGTTCCATGTTCAAGTGGAAGTTGGGGTCTTAACTGTAACCAGACATGTTATTGCACAAACGGAGCAGCCTGCAGACCAGCTGATGGCTTTTGTCTCTGCTCACCTGGATGGCAAGGGGACTACTGTGACCAGCCCTGTCCTGTAAGTACATCCCATCCTGGGATGGTCTTGCATCTCCTTTAAAACCGTAATCCACATAGCTTCTAAATGTGTAGTAGGTCAGTATCTCATTTTGTCTATAGATATCCGAAGGAAATCATGTGTCAATAACAGATTGGGGTTCTAGCAGGCAAGCAGATGTATTATACATTGCATTATATTTTATCAGAGCTGCTGCTGTCTTGTCTGCATTTTCCTGAACATCATTTTTTAAAGTAATTCCTCATTTGTTTCTATATAGAAGTGTTAGGCACTGTGTTGTTTCTATCTTCTCCGTATGTTAATTTAAAAAATGCAACTCAGCATTAAGAGGAACGACATGATAGATGATTTTGCACATTTTAGAATAAAAAACTGATTACTGAGAGACTTTTTTCTTTATATTTTTGGAAGGATGGAACATATGGTCTTAATTGCAGTGAACGCTGTGACTGCAGCCATGCAGATGGGTGTGATCCTGTCACCGGTTACTGCTGCTGTCTTGCGGGCTGGACAGGTAAAATTAGCAATTACCTTTGTAAACCTTGGGGTTTTGATGTTTTGGGGGCTTTTTGGTATTTTGGTGGGTCATTCTGCTTTGCTATTGCATAGCACTGGACTTGTGGCTGCAAACTTTTAAATAATAGATTGAGACAGGATCAGCTGAACTTACCCATATTTAAATCACTTGTGATGGTGACAGTAATTGGCATTCATTAAATTTGTATTCAGATTAGTTGAAGATGGCTCCAATCCTGGAGCCAGATGTTAGCCTTCCCTCAGGAGGGATGCAGATCATCTGGAAATCCTGCAGAGTTTCTCCTTGAATAGCCCTTTCCACGGAGGTGCAGTTGTGGCTACAGTGAATCCTGGGACCATCATACCTGGGGCTGCAGACAGGTGTTTTCTGAATGCTAAGAGTCATTACAGCTGCTCCATCGTACAGAACCCAGTTTTGTCGCAAAACCGTGTCTTTGCACTTTTTCCATTTTCCTTCTTGTCACACAGAAGGGTAGTTAGGGAGAGCAGATTAATGCTGGTCTGACAAAGAGTTCTTGTGATTCCACAGAAGCAGAGAATATTCAAGTGAAGTCAGAGAGTCCAGGCTGGAGATCTCAGTACAATCAGACCTGCACTTGACTCCATATTGATATGTCTCCTTGACAGCTTTTGACAGCTAACATAACAGCAGTGGGGGGCAAGTTATTGACCCAACCAGCATTTCACACTTAGCTGCCTAAAATGCTGGTTAATCTCCCTCAGACCTCTGTAGAGGCCCTGGAGGGAAATAAACTTATATTCTTGCCCATAACTGCAGAACCACCAGTGGCATTGACAATCAAAATGCCTTTATATTAACAGCAATTCATTTGGAAAATGTAATTGTTCTTTACACAAGAACTAGTTGGAAGAACGTATGGAGCATGGCAGGCTTATCAGGCAGCCAGCATATGGAATACCGTCACCTTACCCCTTCATTTATGCCTTAAACTGATGCATGCCTTCTCTTTCTGATGGAGAGAACATCACCACAGCAGCTCAGCTCCTAGAAGCATGAAGCAAAAGCAATGAAATTATACCTAGAACATACAATGGAAAAAATCTTTTAAGAATTAAATAAAATGCAAAAATAGGAAGCTCTACACACTCTACTTTTCAAAGATACTGAGCATGTATACCTGAAAAAGGCATTCTTCCCACAAGAAAATTCACTTTATAAGCTTTTTAATATCCAGTCTTCCAGCTTGTATTCTTCACTCAGTGGACTGCATTCATCTTTCTTTGGGACTCTTTACCATCAATATATCTATCTATCAGGCTTTAAAACTCTACTGTGCATTATTGATGATCATCAGAGAAACACTTGAGAGGCTTTCCTGTAGTCATTGTGAGTTTCTTCAAGGGAGAAAGTGGTTTTTAAAAGTACAGTAAATTAAAGAGATATATTTATACGCACTTACTCTAAATGTTTATTACACATCTTTCTGGATCTAGCATTCCAGACAATACTGCAGAAAATGTATTTTGCAGACAAAGCAGACTAAAGGTGTGGCTATTTCTCAAAGGCATTTCCAACAAATGCCTTATGCTTACTCCCAAGCACATCTGTCAATGGACATCAAATGCACGTACAAATTACTCCAAGTAAAGGTAAGAATGATGTCTGTGATATCCTTTTCTTTTTTTTTTTTTTTTAAATTTCCATATTGGACAGGATAAATGTATATTAACTTGAAGGGGACTAACTGCAAACTAAGCACTTTATCCTTCCGTGTGCCCCTGCAGTTCTGGAACTCCCTTCTTCAGGATCATATTTCAGGAAGGAAAATCTTACATTAGTATTTGAGACCGGGTTGGAGTTGAGATGTTGACAGGGCCATGTAAGGTGTGCACTGGAAATGTTGATAGACAGAGCCATTTGTCAATTCTGCTTCCAATGTTTTTTCCACTTGGCTTAACACCAGACACAAGGATAAATTCTGCTCATACTAGTTTGAAAGTATGTAATTTAAGAAACTCTTCAGCTAGATAATTATATTTTCATATTAAGGAGTTGTGGCATCAGTGAAAGATTAATCTTATCTGTAAGCTGTTGTGAACAGGCCCATAATGTGTACTGCAGTGCATTTTATAAATATGATGTGATAAATAATTCAGGCTTAATTTTTTGCTTTCTGAATTTGGTACTAATTAGGCATGGCCTGAAAAAGATCAGAAAAGTTCAGGTTCGTGGAATATCTGAAGGTTTTCCTGCCCACTCATACCAGACAGAAAATTCACGTGGCTTTCTGAACCTAATAGCCACAAAACTTCATCTGAAACAGCATATTCTGTATGTTCATTCCACATGTGGGACTCCCTCTTGATGTCAGTGTTTTATGTAAAGATCAAGGGGAAGATTGAACCCATTTTCTTTAAAGTGGATTTCAAGATGTTACTGATATAAACCTTCAGAGACTGATAGATGGTAGGAGCATGGAGGAAGACTGGAATGAGAAGAAAAAAGACATGTAAAGAGTGGCTTACAATGTAAGTTAATAGCAGTCTACCATCCTTTTATTATGTTTTGACTGCCACCCATCAGGACTGTTATTCAGGACAGCGTCCTTCGTGTGTCCCAGCTGAGGGAAGGTTATTTTCAGGAACTGAGGGTACCTGGCAGATGGGAAGATGATGAAGAGATTCCCACATATCAACCAGGAGATCACAAAGCTGTGCAAACCAGCTGTATGCATAAATAAGCACACTGGCAACAAGCTGCGTAGAGACGTGCATATACAGTTTCCATTAAGTTCAGTGGGGAATTGCATGTGTGCAGCCAAAGGCAGAAGTCAGATCAGATCTAAAGATGATTGCGCCCTGTTGTTATTGCTGAAAATTACCCAACCAGGTACACAGGCACATTGTATCACAAATGCCTTTGTAGATAGCATGGCAAGCATAACACTGGTACATAAAAGACCAAAACCACATTGGCAAAAAGCTCTCATGCGATACAAGCAGAGTGAAACTTGTTCAGATGTGGGCCAAAATCGAATCTGTGACCTGCTGACTCAACGCAGAGCTGCATTTTCCTCCACATGAAGGAAATGTCAGATGCAATAACAGTAAGGGCTCAGCTTTGCACCGAAGGGAGGTCTCCAGCTTGCACCAGTACTGCATATGCCTAACCTCACATATATAAATAGTACCCCTGAAATCAAAAGAAGATGTGTTCATATCTATTGCTAGGTTAAAAAGCGTAGCCTCCAGCAGGATCAAGTCCTGACTGATTATACTGATTGTTTTCTGAAGATTAATAAGGGTCTCTCTTACTCCAGGTCTGCCACACGTTTTAGATACACAGCGCTTCTGTGCTCGCAGCTCTGTCTGGGTGCTTGTGTGCACACAGATACCTTAAAGCTCCCAACACACTAGTCATCTGTGGAAGAGGTGTTACTTTGTATGCATTCCAGTTAAAATGAAAATGCTTGAAAATGGAGTGCTTTAGTGCTAATTACATTTGGTTAATTAGGGATCTTGCACACACTGAATACACAGAGAGAGTGGAAGTGCAGAAAACCTGCGTGGTGGAGCATTTCCTGAAAGTCCTGTGCGCAAACAGGTCCTAGAGGAGCAGGCATCAGTCTCATCTCGCCCAGACGCAACCTCCTCTCCTGGATGCTCAGTGACAGTGATAAGGTCATAAATTTCAATTAGCGTCCTCTTAGTAAATTACCCGAAACTGGACAGAGTAGGACTGGCTGCGCTGGCAGCCTTGCTGGGTGGGTCAGAAGCGAGGGAGGACGTGGGGAGGCAGTGTTCCGCGGTTAGGTGCAACGCAGCGTGGCTCTGGAAGTTATGGCTCCAGCTAAGCCAAGTGGGTTTTGCAAGCAGAACTGCAAACCCCCTCAGCTTGGTCCTCTCTCCTCAAGGTGGCTGTCGGCAGCATGTTTCGTACCAGGAATGGATTCCTCACCCACACCAACTAGTTATTACTGCAAAGCCTTTAGATGGTTCACTCAGTACAACCCTCAGTAATTAAATTGGTCATAGTTGCTGGCCTGTCCTCTCATTTCTGGAGGTGCTTGACCTGAGCCAGGTTAGCAGGACTCTGGGAAGCCATTGCTCATCCTGTCTCTGAGACCCAAGTCTGTCCGTTTTCACAGTCAGACATCCCGCTCGCAAACAGATTACAGAAAGGAGAGCCACAGGCCTGGCTGATCTTCACAGCAAGCTCATTTCCTCCCTGTAACGAGTCAATGTGCTTCAAGTTAATTGTGGCAGTGTGTATTTTGTTAACCTTTCAGATATTACATTGGTATTAAATAGGAAGCGATCTGCAGGGGGATATATTCCATTCCTGTAAATGTTAAGGTCAGTTAAAATCCTGTTTATCTGAATTTGTTTAATCTGAAATGCTGTCTTATCTGAATCTTGGTTCTGTCTTTCTTTTTTTTTTTTGTATCACACTCAATCACTATCAGTGTAGAACACTGCAGTTCTGATGTTATCTCAATTATCCACTGAACTAGTTTACTCAATAGCTTGTCTGAATATCCAAAGACAAAGTTTATTCACTAGATTTTAACATACCAAAAATGTGTGGGAAGGACAGCATGGTACTATAGATGTGAGATGGAAAATATAGAAGTGTGCATCCCATAGTTAATTATAAAAGAACTCCTCATAGATTTTCTTAATTAATCAGGTTGGCAAATAAAGGTATGAAAATGACACATGCTGGTAAGGAAGAAACATCTTGTTATTGTGTTGGTACTTTTCACCTTCAGGCTTCACTCATGTCTCATATAAGCAGCCTCCCTCTTTGCCATTACATATGGGAAATCAAAATATATATTTCACTGTCCTTTACAACCTCAATAACTTTCATATGTTGCCAGTAACATAAACCCTAATTGTCTCTTATCACATCCAGAAATATTGTACAGTGGTTGTGGTAGTCTCGAGTTGTAGGGATTTCCACGTGTGATTGTATAGGCGAGTTAATGGGGTCAGGAAACGTCAGCTGGTCAC